ACAAAAAAAGAAACAGAACTGAGAATCAATAAAATAGATTAGAAGTTGCATAAACAACTCCAGACATACTGAGCCACTTCATCTTTGACAAAGGAGCCAAGAATCATCACTGGAGAAAAGATAGCCTCTTTAACAAATGGTGCAGGAAAAACTGGGTTTCAACCTGCCAAAGATTAAAACTAGACCCATATCTCTCACCATGTACTAAACTGAAATTGAAATGTATCAAAGATATAAATATTAAAACAGAAACACTAAACCTGCTAGAAAACAGGTTAGGTAGAACTCTGGAAGACATAGGGGTAGGAAAAAGACTTGATGAATAAAATCTCATTTGCATGCGAACTAGACAAAGAATCAACATCTAGGGTAGCAACTAGTATCTCATCTTATTAAAAAGCTTCTGCACATCAAGAGAAACCACCAACAGAGTGAAGAGACAACCTACAATGTGGGAAAATTACTTTACCAGTTGCTCCTCAGATAAAGGTCTACTGTCTAGAATATATAAAGATCTTAAAAAAACCAGACACCCCCAAATTCAAAGACCCAATCCAAAGTGGGCATGTGAAATGAACAGATATTTCTCAAAGAAATAAAAACAGCAAATAAAATGAAAAAATGTTCACCATCACTGGTCATTTGAGAGAAAGAGATGAAAACAACATTGAGATTCTGTCTCACTCCAGAAAGAATGGCTGCTGTCATGAAATCCACCCATAACAAATACTGGCAGGGCACTGTGGAGATCAGTGTGGAGGTTCCTAAAAAGAAACTAGGATTAGAGACCCATTTGACCCAGTTCTTCCCCCGCTGAGTGTCTTCCTAAAAGAATTAAAAGCGTTATACCACAGTGATATAAACTCACGTTTATAGTGGTGCAGTTTATAACAGCTAAATCTTGGAAACAGCCCAAATGTCCATCAATTGGTGAGTGGATAAGGAAGATTTAAAAAAAATGAAATGGATTACGGCTTAGCCATAAAGAATGATAAACTGGAGACATTTGCAGCTAAATGGATGTACATTGAGGCCATACTTTTAAGTGAAGTAAATAGGACATACACGTGTAAATACCAAATAGTTTCTCTGGTGTGAGAAACTGGAAGTGTAAATGAGGACCAAAATTTATAACAGATAATGTGAGATAGGAAGCAAAGATCAGAAGGGGAAGGGGCAGTGGTGGGGGTAAGGGAAAAATGAAGAAAACAAAAAAATTTGAGAAAAGAAGGAAGAAACAGATACAAAGTTTTTCTTTTTGTATTAGGGAGGGGTGGAGGAGAGGGAGGGGGAAAGTGGAAAAAAGAAGAATCAAGGTATGTATAGGTATGAATTCCCAGTGATGAATATAATCATAATGTATACCTAAAATGTACCAATAAATGTAATGAATTAAAAAATAACAAAAACTTACATTCCAGTAAATTGGAGAATCTAAAAGAAGTGAATAAATTCCTAGACATACATGATTTACCTAAATTTAACCAAATATATATATATATATATATATTTTTTTTTTTTAAG